CAACACCAACCCCGGCAACGGGCGCCCGTCGCCTCACAACACCAACCGCAGCACGGAGGGTCCGTGCTTGCTACAACTGCCGATCAGTACAGTGCCCGTCAACAACAACTCGGAGAATCCGGGGGTGGCCAGAAATGGCAATTATTGGGAAACCATGGGACGGACAAGTTGAGGAAACAGTATCAGATCCTCCTCTAGGGTTGTCAGCAGAATATCAGCGCGTAAAGAGGAGCTAAGTTGCCTTACACACTCAGTAGTCATTCGCACCTCAGACTAAAGATTGAAACCAAGCTGCACGAGAGCCTGCCGTACCAACGGTTCACCGATTCCTCCTCAGGACCTTCATGCATTGCGGCCACCCCAGCAGCAACCAGCCTTTTTCTGCCTAACAGGAACTTTGGCAATCGGAGAGCCAAGAGTGAACCTTGGTGACACTCGCCTCCATGTCTGCGTGTGCTTCCCTCTTGGGCCGTATGATCACCGCGGAAGAACTTGCTGTTTAAAGATTCAGACTCTACGTTTGATTTTCCTTCTGTTCAGTGACATTCCAGTTATTTTCATGTCTCGTCACTTTTTTTTAATTTCAGAATTTTTAATGCTTATTTTGTTCGAATTTTATGTCTGTTTTCGGCTGTTACCGTTAGTTCATTTTTCTCCCCAATTGTTGGCTTTTTAATTGAAACAACCAATTGCGGGTGCTGGAGATCTGAAACAAAAACAGAAAAATGATGGAGAAACTCAGCAGGTCGGGCAACATCTGTAGAGAGATAAATAAAGTTCAAAAACAAAGTTGCTGGAAAAGCTCAGCAGGTCTAGCAGCACCCTTCCTCAGAACCCGAAACGTTAACTCTGTTTTTTCCTTCACAGATGCTGCCAGACCTGCTGAGCTTTTCCAGCAACTTTGTTTTTGTTCCTGATTTACACCATCCGCAGTTCTTTAGGTTTTTATTCCTCGAGATCACAAGTTAGACTTATGAGCCACTTCAAAACTGATTGAACCAGAATGGAAGCAAGTCATCCGCAGTGCCAAGGCACTGCCTAAGATTAAAATGTTTCTTCACTTGGAGAAACAGTCAACAAGATATTGTATTTTTAAGTTAAAGTATATAAAACAATGGTTTTTATAGTTTATAGGAGGAAGCAGGTATTAACCAAAAAGCTGTTTTTCCTACAATACAAGTGAGTCATGTGGTATATGACTTTCAGTGCCTATGTGTTATTGTATATAGCTGTAAATCCCAACAAACAGTGGATCATATCAAACAGCATGTCCCTTTTATTGTTTACAATAGGTGAAGTATTGACCATACTCAACCAGACCTTGCCTGCAAAATTCCAGAGTGTCCAACATTAGGTGTGATTCTGTGATTGGACAATATTTTCCAATCAATCCCAATTGTGCGATGCATTACAGTGACAACTAATTTAGGATTACTGGTCAGGTCCACATGTAGCTCAATTATGCTTGTTAGAAGTTACATATATTCATAGAGGGCCCTGTCCTTCATCCAACATAAATTCTAGCCCACTTAAAGCAATTTTGAGAGTTCAAATTAAATTTTTACCAGATACTCTAGAAAAAGTAACTTTAAGACTGAAGCTAATCTTTAATTTAAAAAACAGTACTTAGTATCTTTCACAAGTGAATTTTAATCAAGTCTATCCTAGCATCTTCAAGTTAAAATGTAATTCAATTATTTTTAAAATCTGAATTCTGATGCACAATATTCAATTGAAACAAGCACTCTTGATAATAACATTTACTTATTCAGATTTAATTATAACTTAGAAATATTAATTCCGTTATTGGGTTATGAAATTCAAGGTGTTTGATTATCATGATATTCCCAGGTCCCAAGCCCAAAGAAAAGCGCAAGCACAAGTTCAACCAGTTTAAAATCAAAAACAAGTAACAAGCATACAAGCAGAGAACAAATTTATTTCATTAGACACCAGAATTCTTCTACCATTAAATATAAGACCATGAGCATTATGTAATAAAATCTGTACAGAGAATAAAGCACTAAAACACTGACATTTTTCTTAAAGACAGTCTTTCAATCAAAGGAAACAGACCAGGGAAATAGACCATAAGACAAAGGAGCAGAAATAAACCATTCAGCCAGTTGATTCTGCTCCACCATTCAATGAGATTATGGCTAATCTGATTGTCCTCAACTACACTGTCCTGCCTTATCCACATTGCTCTTAATTCCCTTACTGATTAAAAATCCATCTATCTCAGCTTTGAATAATGACCCAGCTTTTACAACTTTATGTAATAAAGAATTCTACAATTCACTACCCTCCAAGAGAAGAAATTCCTCCTCATTTCTGTTTTAACTGGGTGACTTACTCTGCACTTTCACTCTGAGATTAAACCCTCAGGTTTTAGACACTCTAAACATGTGGGAAACAATCCCCCTAAGGATCCCATATGACCCATTAAGATTCCCTCATTCCACCAAACTGCAATGAGCACAACTCTTCCCCACCAGAAAATCCCTCCACACCCAGAATTAACAATGTAAACAGTCGCTGAACAATATCCAATGACAGTACATCACTGTAAGCTAGGGAACTAAAATTCTCCACAGCCCTCCAGGTGTGGTTTGACTCGTGCCATGCATAATTCTAGAAGATCTCCCCATTTTTATACTCAACTCCCTTGAAATAAAGGCAAACATACCCTTTTGACAAAGTGAAGTACCACTTCTCCTGACTGACATGTCTGGGGAAAGTAAAGTGACCCATGCAGATCAGCTGAAGACTGTTAGTGTTTGACCAAGTGCACAGCTGGGCTTTAAAGTTGGTGTTTACTCCAGGAGTGGAGGCCCTGGCACTAGCCAATATTTCAGCCTGTGGCAAGTGACAGCATAAGATGAGCAAGAAGCCATAGGGGCATGAGGTGAGTTTGGGAATGTAGCAGAAGAAAAGTCACCATGGCTCATGGAGAGAAATCCTCCATGAAACCTGCCAAAAGTGATACTTGGCTGATTTCTAGTAAGATTCATCCCACTATCTCTCCATGTGACTCAAATTTTCTTTGCTAATGTACCTGTGAAGTGCATTGGAATATTTTACTGTTAAACTGGAATATAAATGTACATTGTTGTTTTTCCATACTGTGGCAAAACAATTGTCCTGTACTTTACTTGCAACAATTTTTATTAGCCTAAGTTTATAATTATTTGTAAGAAACTGGAGATAAAATAATTTTAGACAGTTCTTGGGTATTTTGTGACATTTTCAATGACTAGTTGAGGAAGGGAAATTGGCTCCCCTCTTTTAAAGTTGATTGCAACAAAATTTTTCAGCACACAACCATTGCATTTCAATCAAAACTTAATTAACTAAATCAAAATGAAGGAGCTAAATTGCAAGGTATTCTTAAGTGAAAGAAAGAAATTTGATTACCTACCAATCCTGAAAAAGATAGACATCAAACGCACAAAAATACAAAAACAGGACTGATATGTTTAAAAAGAAGTTGGTGGAGGGAGGAGGGATATCTAGTACAGACAGAAAGATGAAGGCAATTGCACTTTAAGGTTCTTAGAATCCTTGAGTTATGAGAAACTCCTGAGTCCCAAATGTCTAGCTCATTGGTTCCTGACCTTTTCAGTAACACAGCATACTTCAATGAGGCCAACAGCTCCATGGCATGCCCACTTTTTTAAAACTGAATTGATTGCTCATAAGCGTCACATTTACTATGGTTACAGCCTTACTAGAGAGGAGTGCAACATAGTGCAAGCTGAAGAAGGATCAAATGCATTAATATTTCAAATTCACTGCACCGGTAAAAATATACCTTCTTTGACTACAAGCACAGAGACATTTTAAGAAACTGCTCAACTCAACTTTTTTAAACTATTTATGGCCCTAAATCTGCTCCACACCCTGCACTTGGTTTTGAATTTTGCAGATGACATTTCATTGTGTCAACAATATTTTTTAAACTGTTATCTTTATAGAACAATTGAACCGATTCACTTGACTGTGCGGAAGGATAGACAGTTGATACGGCAAAGTTGCAGTCAGTGCAACGGGTTGAAGCGTGTCTATTTTAATGCAAGAAATGTCAGGAATAAGGGTGACGAACTTAGAGCATGGATCGGTACTTGGAACTACGATGTTGTGGCCATTACAGAGACTTGGATAACACAGGGGCAGGAATGGTTGTTGGATGTTCTGGGATTTAGATGTTTCAATAGAAACAGGGAGGGAGGTAAAAGAGGTGAGGGAGTGGCATTGCTAATTAGGGATGGTATCACAGCTGCAGAAAGGGAGGTCGTCGAGGAGGGTTTGTCTACTGAGTCAGTACAGGTGGAAGTCAGAAACAGGAAAGGAGCAGTCACTTTATTGGGCATTTTCTATAGACCACCCCCCCCCAATAGCAACAGAGACACTGAGGAACAGATTGGGAAACAGATTTTGGAAAGATGCAGAAGTAATAGGGTTGTTATCATGGATGACTTCAACTTCCCTAATATAGACTGGAACCTTCTAAGTGCGAATAGTTTAGATGGAGCAGATTTTGTCAGGTGTGTCCAGGAAGGATTTCTGACTCAATATGTAGATAGGTCGACTAGACAGGAGGCCATATTGGATTTGGTGCTTGGCAACGAACCAGGCCAGGTGTCAGATCTCTCGATGGGAGAGTATTTCATTGATAGTGATCACAGCTCCCTGGCCTTTACTATAGTCACGGAGAAGGATAGGAGCAGACGGTATGTGAAAGTATTTAATTGGGGGAGGGGGAATTACAATGCTATTAGGCAAGAACTGCACAGCATAAATGTTCTCAGAGGTTCTCAGGAAAATGCATGACAGAAATGTGGAGGTTGTTTAGGGAGCACTTACCAAGAGTACTGGATAGGTTTGTCCCGCTGAGGCAAAAAAGGAATGATAAGGTGAAGGAACC